ATAAATATATAAACATTTTTATGAATTTCTAACTAGACATAAATTTATAATTTTCGTGATTTTTACGAATTTTATTAAAATTCTAAGTTTAAACGCTCATAACAAGTTATTGTGGATTTACGATCAAGTTTTTTTTAATTGCCAGCACCTTACAAGGAACCTTGTATTACGTTTGCAAGTTTTTTGACCTAGCCACAATTTTTTTATTGATTTTAGCTTAAAAACAAATAATATACCTATAAATAGTTCAACACAAATCAGAATATTCAGTGAAAAATGCATGTATCTAAGGTCATTTTTGTTAGAGTTACACTAAAATCCAATATCGATTTTTTCAAAAACTTGTTATGAGTGAAAATTCCCATTTTTTCTTAATATTTTATTTGTTATTTCTGTTGATTTTGAAAACTATTGTGAATTTTAAATGTTGACCTCTCAAATGCACCAACAAGATTCACTTTAATACCAGAAAAGTTGCTGTTGAAGAAAATCGAAGCATTTTTACTGCAAGAAACCGTGATGACAGACATAAAAAAACACACTTACATCATTATATAAAATCAATACATTCATCGCTCTGCTTAGAATCTAAAATATCATGCATCTACATTATGTTCGAATAACAAATATTAAAAGTCATCAACATCCGGACTTTGGTTATTATTACACAATCCACAATCAAAGTAGGTAATTTATTATCTATGCCAAGAAAATAACTTGGTTCTCAATAAAAAGGGAGCCAACTTGTATTACTCATCTCAAGCCAGTTTTTGTCATTACAATATTTGACACTTATAAATCGTGATTTTTGATGTTGCTTAGAGATGTACTTAACAGAAATTAAAAATAATTTATCGAGGGTTTATTTACCTTGTAGTACATATTATATATTCGTATTAATGTATCAATAATAAAAGGAATATTTGCACATTAGGGACACTACGGTGAACGGCCCTAATTTAAGATGATTTTTAGATGGAAACGTGTCCCCAATGCCTTCCTGGACATACAGAACTGGTAGGTACCTATGTCTTATGAATAAGGATAGGAAGTTGTAGAAAGTTGTACTTTTTTACATGCTGTCGATTTACAGTAAGCTAAGGTAGAAAGCCGAGTAGTACAATGGAGAATTTAAAAATAGAACATTTAAAATGAGTATCACATATATTTCGTACATTTTTGTTGGAAAAGTATATATCTCTTGATTTTCCTACGTATATTTATTTTTTCAAATGATTTTTATATTTTTAAGCTGCGTGAATTTTATTATTGATATTTAATATAGAACTCAATATAATTTAATGTAGATATCTATATTGTTATCGTCGCAGTCGAAAATGAATTTAACGACATTATTCCACGTATCTTATCAAAGCATTCGTTTAAACTATTTTTAAAGATCAACAAAATGTCAAACAATTTTCAGCTATATTTTAAATATTATAATTTTATTTTACAATTATTTAAAGGCAAATAAATAACAAACTTTTTGGAATTTTTGAATCATTTTCATGCATATGGCACATTTAAAATTTTTCGTCCTTATTTTGCCTTCATCTAACCTTCGAAACTTCTGTATCTTTTGAGCCCTACTTATGAATCTGATCAAATATGTAAATGTCACCTTGAACCAGTTGCATACAAGTCGTTTCCGTAACTCTTAAAAAATAATATAAACTCAACTTAAAAAGGTAAGGTCTAACTTAAAAGGTTAAATACCAAATCAAATGAAATCAACACTTGGCGATTAAAAATAATAAAACAATCACACTCAAATAAATAGTTCTATAGATGAGCAATAATATGAGAATTTACTATTACAAGTACAACCAATATAATATAAAAAAGTATCGTATTTGGAATGTATTTTCCTGTAAATCGTTTTTATAAACACTAGTAATTAGTAGATAGTATCATATAGGTACCTACATCATTTTTCATGGCACATTAGCCTGATTAAAAACATTTTATGTTGACATAACTTTTCGATTTAGACTTACTACGAATCACTTTATTAGTTGAACATTTTACATTTTTTAATACATCAGAAAACAAAAATATTGGAATTAGAAACACCGAAAGCAATATTTAAGTGTTCTTGCTTGAATTTTACGGTGCCTTTTGTAATATTATGTATCAGATAAAGACTAAAAATGTATTATTTATAATTATTTTATTTATTTATTTTTATTATTATTCAACGTGGTTTTAAGAGGAGAAGAAAATAAAGCAGTGTGGTGATGAGACATCATAGAACCGAAGAGTTCCTATTGATTTGTACGATTAGTGATTACCTTGGCTAACCGATCTAAGCAGTTTCAACAATTTTTTAAAATATTATACCTAAAGCTATCGTTTGACGATCATTTAAAATGTTTCAAATTTAATACGATTTCTTAATATGATATAAAATTTAGATACAATGCGTTTTTGTGTAAAATAATACTCTTAAGGGGGGGGGGGAGTGGTCCACAGGTAGCTGTTTCCCAATAGCTCCTCGCCTAAAATACACTACTGAATTCAAACAAAAATTACAATTTTTATTATTTACTTGTAGACCTAATGCTTGGACGAGTGAAAAGAAGAATACAATTTGGCATGTTTAAAGTTTTATTCAGACGAGTATTGACTATACCTCATTACCTACGTTACTCTACCAAGCTCCCAAAATCGTCCCAAAATATCTAAACGTATACTTGATGTATATATTAGTGGTCCGAGAGCCGCAAAACTGATTTTTTCAGCTGATTGTAAGTACCGTGACCTAAGTTGATAGATTTACATAGTATAAGGATTTAAATAACTTAAGAAAATATTTTCTTATTTTCTCATGTAAATTCATAAGCTTAAGAAAATAGTGTAAGCTAAATCCTATCCACGGATAGCCCAGGCATCGTATTGATGGGCTATTATTGTGCAATCCAAAATTCCATTAGGATCAATTATGAACTTTTAAATAGTAATTTTAATAAAGCTACTTATATTTTAAAACCATAGAAATATAACAAGCATTATGTAATAATTTATTACTATGTAACTCCTTGAGTTTTTTACAATATTTTAATTTTCTAAAGAATGATGAGCATTTTTAAATTTTAATATTTTGCTAACACGTAGGTAACTGAAACTAAATTTATATATCTTAAAAAATCAAAGACAAAACACCGATAATATCCTCAACACTTAAGTTGCGTAAAATAATTGGTCAATTTATTCAAATATCAAAACTTATAAGACAAAGTTAGAATTACTTAAATCAAATTTGCTATTTGTACCTATTTAAAACAACGTATAACTAGAGTTCTGCATGGGTCCCTATTTCTTTTTAAATAAAAACAGGCTCATATCCTGATATAAAAACTTGTACCAATCGGATCGTTATTAAATATTTTGTGATTTGTACATTTTACTTTAGCCGTCAAATATAAAAATTTGATAGTTGATTTTATCAACAACGTCAAATGTAAAATTTACGACTTTTTACAATCACATAGTCTGGAACTGTATTCATGCAGTATAATGCGTTTTTATTACAACTGGTCATTATATTTTTATCATACATATTCCAGATAAAGCATTTTTCATAGTAAGTTAGTCATAGTTAGTAGTTAATCTAAATCGTATAGTTATCACATAGATAAACAGATTAAATAAGACTCAAAAAAAGGTCCGGTCTTTATCGTATACCAACACTATATTAAAATATAATATACGAATACGATCCATAATATGGGTTTTGTATTTTTAATGACAAGTTTTTCGATAAGTAATGAGTATACCATTATCCGCTCATCGGATTTTTATAGGTGGGTCGTTGGTTTGGTGGTGGGGGGAGGGGGATAAGGTTTCAACTTGTTGTTCTCGGAAACCCGTTTCATTGCGCGGCGGCTCTCGGCTGCATACTAATGTTAGTTTTTGCCCTCATCGTTTCACGAGTCCTGCGCCGCATGTGTGGGTCGCTCGTCGTCGTAACCGGTCGACGAACAGGCTGCATCAGCATCGCTATAGCGTCGGTATGTATTATTATACAAGATTTAAGACAGAATCGAATATGTATCATAATAATGAGTTCTCAACACTTAATGCATCTGTGCATTTATAAAGTACAAAATACATGTTTTTTTTACTCTGAATTTTACCAAAAAATATTTTTATGTCATATTATTTCACTAAAAGTTTTTGAATAAAAAAGTGAAATCATATGTTGACCATATGGGATTGAAAAATATTATACAACAATAAATGAGAATCAAAATAAATATTCATTATAATGTATGTTTTTGTATTGCAAAATTTTCGAATTACATGTATGCTCTAAAATATAGTTTTGTTAAAAAATATTATCTTAAGACTAATAAAATCACTGAATATGTGAAAATATGTATTATAAACATTTTATATTTTTCTTGTAGTGCCGTAAAAACAATGTCAAGCTTACTTAGCAATTAATCTAATAGCTCAAAAATACGTGTAAATCACACTGCAGAGGTAGTGGTAGCGTTAAAATGAATCTGGACACAATTTACCTCCACCGTGGAGGCACCGCCAAGACAAAATCATTGCACCACCGCCGCTGCAGGGTGTGTGAACCTTTACAGATAATTATTGATGTTCAGACTTAATTAGTTATACAGATATTTTTAAAAGTCTGTGCGTATTTAAAAAAAACATAGTTAATATTATGTTTGTCGCAAATATCAAATTGATAATTTAAAAAAAATTTACTCTGTTCCTACTTCCAAATGTTTTTAAAAATATTTACCTTTGATAATTAGTTTTAAGATTCAATGATTAGAGATATTACTAAAGAGATACCATTTTAACAATACATTAAGACAACTAAAACGTATTAGCAATATACCTATTCATTTGTAATAATTTAATATATTTACTATACATACTGTACGTAATATTATTTATTATTAATATATTACCGATACACTTTATTAAAATTAATTATAATATCTATTTTCCTTGTAGTTAAAGCAAAGGGACCAATTATGGAGAAAAATCAGGCCAGTAGCAGTAGAGAATTTACCTTAAAAATTAACAAGTGAGTACACACAGGATTACAACCTTGCAATTTCTTGTATAAGTATAGGTAGTAGATACTAGGTACACATTATATGTAGATTGTTTTTATAATTTTTAAATGTTTACTTATAAACTACATATCTGAATTAGACTTACGATGAAAAATAAAGAATTAATAATTGCATACAATTGTCATAATATTAATGGAATTTCTAACTGATTGAAGATGTTACAAAATAAATTATATTTTTGGTAATTGCAGATAGTTCTCTATATTTTAGTTAAGAGTTTAATACTTTAATCCTAGAAGGATTTATCTATTTTGTGGCTATAGACACTAAACATTTTCCACCCCTAATATAGGTAATATAACAAGTTATAATACCTACTCCTAAATACTCTAAATATTAAATATAATAGACAGTAGTACTATAGTACCTAAATCCTTTTGAATTTTTAGACATTTTTTCTTAAAGTTAGTTAGGTATTTAGCTTACTTTTAAAAGTTTTAATGGATGTCCACCAAATTATAAAGAAACCCCACAATGATAATTTGTATGGATTGTGAACCATCAATAATAAAACAATATTAAAATATTTAAAACCATTGTTTGGGACTTTAAGTAAAACATTACAATTTACAATATTTGTTATAATACTTTCTTTTTATAATAATGGTCACATAAAACGAATGTTATGATAAATATTTTTGTGAAACATTTCTTAACTAAAATATTTTAATTTTAGAAGTTAAAATTTAAAATGTTTTCTTAGTAAAACTCGAACTCTCGAACAGACAGACTGGACAAACTAAAAATAATAATATTAAAATTGTAAATATAATATTTACTATAAAAATATTATTATCTGCTCAAGTCATTAATTATTGTTATTGATACCTTCGTACAAGACAGTAAATAATTGCAATGCCGCTAGGATTGTCGAATTAGTAATATAGAGTGGCAGTGTGGGTATAGTTATTAATTTTTGCCCGAAATTACGATGACTTCGATCATCGATAAAAATAATAATATACCACTTTTACTTGATAATGACGCATAGCAGACAATAGCAGTTGAAAAATATTAAAAATACCTAATCACATTTTTTTTATAAGCATTTAAAGTACAAATTTTGACAACATTTATAAAATTGAAAATTGAAAAATGTTTTTGTAGTTAAAAATGTATTGAATGTGAGATTTTAAAACAAGGTATTAAGGTATGAACTAAGCAGTTAATTTCGTAACCAATAAATCTAAAAATAAACATGAGCACAGCTTCTTTTATAATTATTTTAATTTCAAATTTAGACGAAACCTTATAACCTTATACAATGTTCTAGCCTGGCATACAGTCTCCGCTCAGAATAGTTTTTCGTATACCTATGATGTTATATAATTGAATTCAAATCTAATAACATCCATTAGAGCGACCTTCTAGACACCTACTTACCCTCCACTACCACCATTGTTGTTAATTATATAATACATTGAACCCTGAAATAAATCAAAAACTTGAAAAAAATAAATAAATTTAATAAATTATAATTTTGTGGTTTTTTTGTTAAGTTGAATCAGTAAGACCAATAAATTATTAACATTTTCAATTGTTATGCATCCTATACAAGGTACTCGAAAATGAGCTGTATCAACATAAACCAAATATTTTTTACCATTACCAAAAAAAAGCTCACCAATTCACTGAAGCCTAGCATAAAAATAATTAAGTCAAAATACAAATTTTAATAAATTCAGTGATTTAACTTAAAATAAATAATTATTAAAATAAAAATGAAAAAACTTTATTTATCAATAAAAACAATAGCATTTTAGTGATAATTGTATATAACCATTTAATTTAACTGGATTATTCAGTTAGGATTAAACTATATAATTATTTTAAAAGCATACTAAAAATTAAATAATAATGTATAAATGTATACCATACTAGTCATAGTAATATAGTCGTAATACATTACATAAGTGACTTTAACGTCCAAAACCACTAAACTGTCATTGGGTTTAATTATAATAAAATTTGTTTTATAATATTGAGTCTGGGATACGTAAAGATGGAATATGGAATTTTTAAAAAGGAAACTAGTTCACGTTCATCTTGTTATAAAAGAACTAAATCGTTTCTCGTCTTTAATTTAGAGAGAATTAAATAGAAATTATTTTGGATAAGTAATTTGTATAGTATATTATGTAACGTTACAGTTACAGTTTCGACTTATTTAGTGCCTATTGACTATTGTGACTTGTGAAAAAAAACTTTAAAAGCGTAATAGTTACAATTGAATACGTTATTATAGGTATGCCAATCTAATATATAAATATATTTAATTTTAACTAGCCAACAGTTCAATTTTCGATGGTTTTGACATGTATAATTTCTCTACAAATTACGTTAGTTAAACAATTAGTTAAATTTATTATTTAATGAGATTCCTCTAAATATGTACAAACCTTATGTTTCCTATCTGAATATCTAGTGTGAATATATAAACTATACTTAAACACTTTTACAATTTAGCTTATAGTTATACTATAAATATAATATATAATATAAATGTTACTGATAATTATTTTTAAATGTTTATAATTTATATATTATTTATTTTCTAAGAATTTAGAGGTGTACAAAAGTTGTTCAATTATAAGTCACTTATTGGTTGACTATTAATATGTTTAAAATTTGCGTTAAAAAATAACATTATTTTTCTAGTAGATAGGCACTTCGGGGAATAATAATTCTAAGGCATAATTAGTCTACCTTGAAATATTAAGGTACATTACAAGGTTATAAATTATTATATCCATTTCCAAATGACAGTATTTAATATTTTTGTGTAGTTATGTATTAACTGTACATTTTTCTTTGTACATCTTTTTCAAATTATAAATTTCTACTATAGTGCATTTCTACTTTCTAGTTACATTGCTCCAAACCTATACCTATCTCTTATTTGCATTTTTTGAAAATTAGTTTCCTGTGGTCTAAAGACTGAATTACGAACTTCCTGTATAAATAAGTATTAATATATTCCTTATTTTCATCAAGCAATCAAACATAACTGATTGTGTTGGTTAGAATATTGCAAAGACGGGAATTCATTACCATAACCGTCCCCCTTCCCCATCACCGATCAAAGGTCACCTTTTAAAAATGTGGACAGATACCAACATAGGACTGACAGCCAATGTAGCTAATATAGAATAACAAATGTTAAAAGAAATTGTTTGTAGTGACAAAGGGAACAATTGCAGTTTAGCTGCGACACGATTTCTTATTTTTTTTTTTTTTGTAACACGTACTTTAACAAGTTGATAATGATGGTGCAAATTGCGCAAATTATTGTTCGTATATCCTTCCGAAGTTTTTATGTTTTTACTGCGCTGTACTTAACGCTGCTTACCACACCTATATATAGTCCTGGTACTGAGTATAACCAGTTTCGATTTTTTCCCGTATTTTACTCACAAAACTGAAAAATGGTGAAATCAAAATTTGCAATATCTGCGAGTCATCGTTTTTCTTGAATACAGTGCTTAGGGCAGAAATACATCATAAATCCACCAATTAGAACAAATTTAATAGAAGTCATTATTTTAATTATCCCCCCTTCTTTCCCTAATTAGAGCTTTATTGCGTTAAAAAATTTTCATTATCTAACCGTGGACGGGGAACGTGACAAGTGAATCTACAATACATAATCGCAATTTAAGGGGTGAATTTGAATATAAATTGAAGTATTAAAACCTGCATTAGTTATCTAATTTACAAAATTCAGCCAACGTTTGAAGAAATTATTTTCTTTAGTTCAAACAGTGGTTCATTATTAGTATGTTTTCCATAGTATTGTATTGGATCCAATTTGTTACAATTGGATACGTAAAAAAATCAAAAAGACGATTTAAAAGTAAAGTACCTACTTACGTAGGTTCAGCAAAACAACATAAAATCTCATCATTTTACACCATCTTTCAACTCGCTGAAATACGTCATGTTGCCGAAAAAAAAATCAAAAAATTACGTAGTAGCTAAGGGGCAATAATATAATACCAATATTACTATCCGTCTCTCCCGGTGTTGAATCCCTGTCAAATATATTTCGAGGAGAGGAGGGGGCTGGATATTCATTGAGGTGATGAGGGTCGAGGTCTTGTGATTATTTGAGCAGTATCCTAGAGAGGTATGTACCTAAGTGCATAATTATTAATTTCTAACTATAAATATTCAAAGTACTACCAACAGTTGATATGTGTCATTTTTACTTCATCCAACCTACGACTGATTGGGCTACATAATGTGCATCGCTTGTCTGGTGGTTTTAGGTGTGTTAAAAACTTAAGAGCAGAAAGCCATGTATTCGATCGTTTTAGCTAGAAGCCTGGAATGAGAACAGTATATTAACTGGATTAAATAAAAATTTTAATAATTTACAATAATTTCAATATTAAAATAAAATAGTAGTTGAAAATTAAAAGAATAACGTAAAGAAATTCGAAAAAAAAAATTAATAAAGGACATTTTAGGGGCTGGTTTTTGGTACCAACAGGTGGTTCCGTGGCATGTAAATTGTAATATCACTTACAAAAAAATACTTATTCCTATTACTATTATTTTAATTTGTTATCAATGACAACCATATTTTATTTTTGAATTATTAAATTTCCATCTTGAACCTTAAGATCCTTATATGTGCACCTCTTTTTTGACCATTGCTAACACAATTTTTATTTATTAACTTCAAAAAAATACAAACAAAAAAACTGATCATTAAACAATATTATAAAAATGATTTTATTATTATCTTCCAATTGAACATGGAATTAATTTATACTTAATTACATCTTTGATGCTGGACACTTTCCAGAAGTTCTTCAATGTGAGGACGTATATTCGTTGAAGGTGCACATCGCACATCGTGTGTATCGTCAAGACAATGTGTATACTTTGTTTTAGTGACAACTAAAGCAGAAAACTTGGCTGCACATAAGTTTAAGGTTGAAAATGGTAGTAATTCATTTTAGAATTCTCTTGTTAAAATAGGTTTATGTTTTAGTTTTTCCCAAAATTGAGTTAGGCAATTTCGAGAAAAATGTTATTAATTTCATCATTAACATTAAAAATATTGAGTCTTAAAAATATAAATTATTTCTAACAAAGTTGTAGTTAAATAATAAATAACACCTAGTTTTTGTTTATGTATTTTACACATTAAACTTAAGACTCAATATTTTTAATTTTATTGTTTGATATTAATGTAAACGTATGTACAGTTTTTGAAGCATGACTATAGTTGAACCACCTATTTGAGAAACGACGTAAGTCACAAAATATCACAAATTGAGTGGAATATGTTATCAAATGACAGATGCATCAGGTGTGAACATTAACAAAAAAAATATTTAATTGTACCACAGTAAATAATTAGTGTGAATGAGAAATAACTATACATAACTGGTAGCGTGGAAAAACAGTTTTTTCTTGGTTTCTTCGAATTGCCTTTTATTGACTTACGTCATCTCTCAAACAGGTGATTCAGTAAATGACGATTTAGTTTAGTAATATAGGTATGATAAAAAAAAGGAAATAGGTACTTACAGTTATCAGTATCTCATAATTATTTATTTTTATTAAAATTTATTTAATAGAAATTCTGATGTGAAATATCAGTTATTGAAATTTAATACAAATATGGAAGTTGAAAAATGGTCAAGTCATACTAAATTGAAGAAAGAAGCCAAAGGGGGTAGGAAAACACCAATAATAGATGATATGCCCAAGTATATATTTATTTTCCTAAATAATGTCATGTTATAAACGTTCATATGATTTAATTATGTAATTATTTTAGATTTGGAGCGGGAAGCGAATTTGGTCATGAAGCTAGACTAAAAGCAAAAAAAAGAAGGTATGAGAGTAACAAAAACCTGTCAGAAACTACTTCTTGGAATTTGAACATTGAAGGAAAAAAGTATGTTTTTTGGTTTATGAATATGATCGTCCATAACCGATTACTTGTTTTAGATTTAAAGGTGCAAGACAAGGTGGAATAGCTGAAAATTCTTCATATTACATATTTAGTCGTGGAGAAGGCAATGTGATAAATGCACATAAAGTAGGAGAGTGGTATAACTTTCAACCTGTATCACGTTACAAAACATTAACAAACAGTGAAGCAGAAGAAGAGTTTGAAAGGTACAGGTTTCATTAATAAATAGGTAAATGATTGAGTATAATAATAATAAATTATCATAATATTTTTTATAGACGTGACAGCATTTACAATAAGTGTAATGTGATGATACAAAAGAAATTAAGTAATAAAGAGGATAAAGAAATCGATGAATATAATGGAAATAAAGGGAAAGGGGCAGAAAAAATTCGTAAAACTAAAGGTTAATGAAATTAATCTAACGTTTAGGAATTTCCATTGTTTATTTATATTGATTGATTATGTTAGAATTCAAAATTTCTGAAATGGATGAATGGGATGAAAGCAATGAGGATTCTTCAAACTCGACTGACGAAGAAAAGGACAAGAAAAAAATTAAAATTCAGCAAAAACGTAAGGTCTTAATTGTTTAACAAAAATATCTAGTGTATCCATACATAGTAAGTTAATACAAATAATTAACTCAAGTTGAGTTAAGTTACGAGAACACAAGATCAATAAGTTAGAAGTTATAAGTTAACAGTTAACAAATCATAAATTTAACTCAATTTTAAAAAAAGTCAGTTTACTTATTAGTAATTAGTATGTGATTCATATAAAGAGTGGCAGCGTTCTTTCTAATAATCCTAAATTATAATAATAAACAGTTTTATTGGTCTTTTATCATAATGTACAGTGTATAGAATTTATCTATTTTACTTTAAATTATTATTGAACTAGCTGACCCCGTGCACTTTGTTGCCCGTTAAAAATGCCAAATCTATATGCAACTTGCTTGTGATAATGCGAGCAGTATTATTATCAAGTAAGCAATCAAACTGTGGTGGATTGAATACCCCCGCTAGCTGCATGCTCTATTTGAATAATATGTTTATTTTTACTTTTATTTTATATTTTGATTGTGGACACATAACATTATTTTCGCATTATTATTATTTGAATTATTACCAATAGCATCCAATTATAAACAAAAATGTCCATCTTAAATCTCAAAATCCCAGTTTGAGCACCACCCGAGGTAGGCCCTTTTTAAAGGACTTCTTCCCAGAGAACTAATAAATCTCTGAACAAAATGTAATCACAATCGTTTGAACGTTTTAGGAATGCATAAAATACAGATAGACAGATATTCCTTTATTTAAATATATATTTAAACTATACACATCTCAATCAATAATTCAACAAATATTAATTATCAAATACGTAGAAACATAAGGTCATATAATGTTATTATTCCTATCTTATATACTAAAATATATCCACACACAAAATTATTTTATCAAGAAAATTAACCGAAATGCTTTTAAATATTATAAGCTTGGTTTATTATTGTATTCATATTTACTTACATAAAACTATGAAAACTAAAAATTTGAAAAATGTAACTTGACTGATAATTTGTAAATCAACAGATAACGGCTAAGATATTTCAACTGTTAATTAAACTAGTTAAATTTATAAGTTAAGAAAATTTAATTTTTTTAACTAGTTAATGTCCACCTTTGAATTCACCTATGTTTAATCTGAGCAATTTCTTTTATGTACACCTAGCACCAAGGTACCATACTCACTTACATAGAGATAATATTGTGAAAACTTGAAATACCATTGTTGTTGTATTTCAAGATATTTGATAATTAATAAGAATAAAAATGACTCATAACTGTAAAATTTAAAATTGATGTTGTAAAATATGTGTGACTCTTTTTATTAAAATGTAATAGAAAAAATCAAAGTCAAACCTAAACTAAAAAAGAAGTGGAGAGGATCTGATGAATCAGCAAATGAAGACAGTGACAATGGCGATGAAGAGGGAAGAGAGTTGGATTATATATCCGATTCTTCAGAAGAGTAATTATCTTACAATTTGTAAGCTTGAATGAAATAAAATAAATATTATTTTTGTATTAGTGTGTCAGATGCTGATGCTAAAGTAACTAAAGAAATGAAGGGAGTTTCCGAAGAAAAAGCATTAAAGAGTCTCTTGGCATCTGATGACGAAACTGATGACGAAGATGAAGAAAATAAAACAACTGATAAAAATTTGAAAAACGATAATGGTACTTACCTAATTAATAGTTAATTTGAAACATTATAAAACATTAGAACTTAAATTGTCAACTAAGACATATTTTGTAATCATCAAACTGTTTATTATCGATATGTCATGTATTTTGTATTTTATTTTTGCAGATTCAGACTATTCAGACATGGACAGTGTACCGATTCATATAAAGCCAGTTAATTTGGATAGAAACAAAACAAATAGCGGTGATCCAATTAATATCCCAAATAACTCATCTGTTCAAAAGTAATGTTTGACAATTTTATTGAATAATTACACTGTTAACAAAAACCTCAATTTATATTGTAGCCTGGAATCACTCCAGAAAAATGCTGATGAAGAAATTTCACTAGCTGCACATGGTATAACTGAAGAGGCTGTCCGACGATATTTGTCACGAAAACCATTCACTTCAGCTCAACTCATTAATAAGTTTAAGAATCGTTCCAATTTAAGTTCCGAACAATTAGTTACAGTCATAGGATTAATATTAAAAAAAATCAATCCTGAAAGACAAATAATACAGGACAAAATGTACTTGATTTTGAATAACTGAAAGTATTTGTACTTATAATACTGCAATAAACTATTAATTTTTTTTTTTTTACAATTACACGTTAGAGTCTCATAGGTTAGACCTATTATAATTTAATATTATTCATTTTTTTTATTATTATTGTAATCATTTTAAAAGTATCTCTAAGTAGTTTCTTTACAAAGTAGGAAATAAGTAATGACATCTATATTATACCATTGTAATGGACAAGGTACATTTTGTATTGTAAGACAGCAAATGTTCTATGTTCAGTATATGTCAAAAGTTCAAGTTATAAGAGTGATCTTATTTTTAAATCTTTCCCTACATATTTTTGTTATAAGTAGAGAATATCTAATAATTAAGGCTTTGATTTTTCACATATATTTTTAAGAATTCTTAAACAATACTTTCAAGAAACAACTGTGTTTCAACTGTATTAAGTACACAGTATTCTAACAGTGCACTTTCTTATGTAGGTTTAACGTTTTTAAGTCATTATTATATCTGTACTGGGTGAATTTTACTTTTTCAATTTTTGGGAATTCAGGGGTTGAAACTTTTTTATCTCAAAATATAGTGACGTGTGACTCTAGGGGTTATTAAGTTATTAAGAATCTTTCAGTTCACCTTTAATTATATTAAGCATTAAATGAGCAATACCATCGTGACAAGACTGCACTACCAAGTACTAAGACTGAACACGACTAGTCATGTTAAAAACTGTATTAGTTGGGCCAAAAAGCCTGACAATTTAATACAAGGTCACAAATAAGTAGTTATGTAATAGCTATTGAGACATTTTAAAGGTCCATAGACACAATTTTTTTTATATGCATTTAAAGATAAAATGTTTACAACATTTATCATCATTTCTACAGTCAAATTATTTTGACTAAGAAAAGTTTATAGTCTTTTTATATCTAAGATTTAAAAATATAATATAAGATTACTTATAAGTTTATCCAAATTTTATCAAAAAAAAGTCAAATTTAATTTTTATGAACTTCAAAATTTTACAACATTGGATATTCACTCAATTCTCATTCAAAAATTATCTTATTTTGTTGCTATTATAAAACAAAGAATCACAGATATTTTAAATTTACACAAAATGTTTCTTTTATCATTTCCTATACTTGAGATTTTTTTAAATATTTGGACTCCTTTTGAGCTGATTACAAACATATTCAATTTTTAATTATTTTAGTGGTTTTTTTCTACAATTCATGGTCCATTGTTACAGTAGAAGTTTAAAAATAATAAAAAAATACATAATCACAATTTATCACGACTAGTCACATTAATAATAATTTTATTTGTTGAGTAAAAAAACTTGAAAATGTAATACAAGGTTCCTCGTAAGTTATTATAATAGCAGTTGAGACATTTTGAAGGACCTGTTAGCACAACTTTTATACGTACGTACATAAAGTTCAAATTTTTATAAAATTCGTCATAATTTAAACAATTTGCAAATTATTTTGATGAAGATATTCATAAAAAGTTTTCTTCTTATATCTTAAATTTGAAAATGAAATGGCAGTTGATGTATGATGAATATTTTTTTATTGTTTTACTTAAATATTACTAATAGATTGTTGTAATTTTTAATATGTATAGGTTAACAAACAGGTAAACTAACAGGCTCTTATTATAGAAGAAAAAAACATTTTCAATGATAAATAACTGAGATAATCAATAGACATAAAGGGTTAGCATCAAGCTAACACTGCCTATTGGTAAGACTATTTTTAGTGATACAGTTATATACAAATTATTACATATGATGAAAAGTGATTTTGAGCGGAAGCAGTCTAGATTTAGAACCAAGGTTACTAAACAATTATTTTAATTTTAAAATTTAAAAAAATATTTTTTTTCTTCAGATAAAAGTTCTGTACAAGTTCTAAATTTTCCCCACCAAAGTTTAAACTAGCTCCAACTTAATACCCGAAAACCTCCCTTGAAGTTTATAATTGGAGCATTCTTCTAAAAGAGTATCTGAAATCTTAAGGCACAAAAAAATAATTATACGTCATTTTAAAATAAGTATAACTTCTTCAAATTGGTAAATGTGTGTTTAAAAATATTTCACTGATCTGGTCTAATTATGCTCAAGTACTACATGCACATGTTGGAAATAAGATTTTTTTATAATTAATTTGTTTTTAATTTCCCATTCAAAGCATTGAATGTTGAATACAGTATAAAGAAATAGTTTATCTTATTATAGTTATTATTTAAATAATTTAGGAATTTATATCAATATGATATTAAATTGTCAATATTAATATATTTTAATGACATACATTTTATATACATAAAATAAATTTATCCTAAAAAAATATATTATATAAATGATTTAAGGATACATCAATGTAAATTATCATAATACTAACACAATTTTAAATAAAGATAACATTAAACTACATATTAAAAATGAATTTACCTGTGTTTTAATAATATGTACTTTGTATGCAAAAAAATACATTTTAAAAAGGATGCATAATATTCAAGATTTACTTATGAATTAATACTTATTTATTATTACTATCAATATTTACACATTCAGCAGGCGGTTGATTTGTAACCTGAATAATGTCAACCTCCATATGTCTAATATATTAAGGAGTCTTGTAGAATCTGACAATCCACTTAAGTTGACAGCAGTATACAGAAAGTGATACATGAAATCTAGTTTTTTGTCTTCTTTGTATAAATCAAATATGAACACGACATGTTCCAACAATTGAACCACCTTGGACAATACTTGTGGCTTTTTTTTGAAAAAATTCTTATCCACCAAATCTAGTACAAACCTGAAAAAATTGTACTTAAGATTAATAATCAAAACATTAACTTTATAATCTACATTATGATAAACTTAAAACCAATCATTATAATAGAAAAATACATTAAGTAAAATTACAATCCTTTTAACCCATGTTTGACTCAAAAAATGTATTTTATAAATTTGATTAATAATGGGTGCCTTTACCCATTATGTACACTATTAAGTAAACACAAAAGATTCAGTCTATTATTTAGTATATTAAATTGTAAATGTTGAGTTATTTTAGTTGTATGCTAGTGGCTTTAAAAAAAAATTATTATTTTGGTTAGTTATTTTAATAGCAACAAAGTTCTTATAAGTTTATAGTTTATGTTTGGTAGAATACATAATAATACCTATACAAATAGGTTTTTAAAGGAATTAAATATATGACACCAGCTTAGTAAACGTTTATGTATTTTATCATTAAGTGATTAGTTAAAAATAGTCATAAAAATACATACCAATCATTGATGCTAGACGGAAATGTATTCGTAATGTCAGTCTTTCCTAAAAGTAACTTGAATAGTTTGTACGTTAAATATGTGTACATTTTTTTGCATATTTCTCCATCAAAAGGCAGAAATAAATCAACCATCATAATTATTAGTTCATCTTCATTGTGTTCTGAATACAATTCTTCAGCAAATGCCATAATAGTGAGATCATCGTCTTCTTCTATTGCGGTTTCAATACAAGTACTAAATAATGTTTGCAACGCATTGAACATTCGTCCACTAAGGTGAAAGTATATTGTCACCGTATACTTAGCTATTTTTAGCAGCTCGTCAAAACTATAATCATTATACGTTTTCAGTATACAGAAAGATATGAAATCCATTACAAATTTAAAATTGTGCAGTGCAATGTTTTTATAATCTTTCATCTGATATACTGATGATGGACTATTAGTTAGAGTATCGAAATTAGCTGGCCATTTGCATAAAATATTTTGGACATCCTGAAAAAATATTAAATTGTTTAATTAATAATATTAATATTCTTAAAACAAGTATGTATTCTGTTCAAATTAAGAAATGTAGCCGGCAGCGACCAGTTTTTATTTTACTGCAGTCAAGTAGCACCTGTTTTTCACTCCCACCCAGTAAATTATCTGTGTACCTTCAGTGTAGTGTTGGCATGCTCTCTGCACACAAGTCGGCAGATGACTAAGTTTCTTAAATTGAACAGAGTATAGTTACAATTATTTATTACACAAGCAATGTGAATAGAATTTATTATTTTGAAACATACGTCAAATAATGGTGACCAATTTGCACGCATCAAAATGTTAGATTGAATTTTGCCTCTAAGTTCATTTCCTTCAACTGACATAATTTGTAAACGTTGTAAGCACAATTTTTTAAAATCAGAACCTGAGTTGTCGTTAAAGGGTATATTATAATTAATGAAAAACATAGGATCAAAAGATTCAAGAGGAAGTTTGTCATCATCTTCAAGATCAAAAATCTTGTCTAGTTGTTCTTGACACAGTTCATCAGTTATTTGAAAGTCATCCTTAAGTTTAGGAGTTTGTTCCAAAAGCTTTGCTTCTAATTGTCTATTATTCAAAACTTCTTGTATATTAAATTTAAAAACTGGTCTTTTAAGTCTTTTCGACGCAGTCTTTTTTGAAGTGAGTGGTTTTTTAGCTTTCAAGGTTGCTTTCTTTGTTTTGGGCATTCTAAAACATAAAAAAAAATATTACTTATACTGGTGATGAATTTTAAATTTAAATTTAAATGTTTAACTGTGTAATCATGTTCTGTTACACACAAGGAAGAACTGTATCTATTTTTATTTTTTCGACAGCACTAATCAATAATTTTTAGTAATTAAATGAAAAAAAATGTTCTCAAACTAATTAATTAAATTTTTTTTAAATTATCCAAATAATATAACACAGATAAAGTTCTTCTCTGTGTGTTGTAGAAATTGAGTAATTCTATTATAAATACAGAGGGAGTATAGTAGTTCTGTACAAAACGGTTTTTGCTATGTTCTACATTTGCAAGACGGAGACAACTCAAGCGGTTACAATATTCTCATAAAAAATTAGGATATTGGTTGTAAAAATGAAATATTAGTGAATAAACTACTATTGCTTATTTTTTACATATGTAATGCAGAAAGTTATTGTCTAACATAGTATCTCTAGTAAGAAAATGAGCAATAGTCCAAACTAGCAACCAATTAGTTACTAGACGGATAAGCTCTGATAATGGAGAAACAGAACACAAGTTTTTACATATGATAGTTGAAATGGAATAGACAGTAATGCAATATCTAAAAGTTCAAACTTATACTATTGTCATTGTGGATTTATACACTGAGGTTTTCTCAAGATATCATAATACAATTTGGATGAACTACAATAATAATTACTATTTGAATTCATACAGAATTAATAAAATGTTTTCCGAAGACTGAAATTATATCCACACGGTCAGTGTACACTACTAGACAAGTGTACTCTAAGCATGGTTTCAGCATTTCCAAAATGTTCATTTGCTGGCTAAGTACCAAAAACGATCAATGAGTAATTACAATAATAACGGTTATCAATTTATGAGTCAGTAATTGAAGTCTGTGTTTACAACAACTACGTACGGTCAACTTAACAATTTTTTTTTGTTTTTAGGTTTGATGTAGTGGAACTAATTTTGTAAATGTATACCGAACAGTTAAATTAAAAAATTAAAACCCATTTCAGAACAATAACATGATATATTTTATAATTTAATTTTGATTTTGAGGAGAATTTGCAGAATTCGGTGTGAAAAAAATGACTTACAAACATATTATTATAATCTTCTCTAAACTCTATGGCAGGGCTTGAAATCGATTTCAAAATCGATTTTAAATATCGATAAAAATCGTTAAAATTTTTTTAAAAAATAAAAATTAATATCGAAATCGTGAATGCTTGTAAATGATTTTCAAAATTTCTATTAAAATTGAAAAAAGTTAAAATCGATATTTTATATCAAAATCGAAATCATTACAATATAATCAAATCAATTTTAAATAAATTTAAAAAAAAAATCAAAAGTATACAAGCATACAGACATATCAGGTCTATTTATAATTAATATTTTTCATATGCACACTCAATGTTAAATTGGGTAATAACTTTGACTATACATATTGTATATCATGCACAATAGTGTGTATAGTAATAACTACTAATAATTAATGACTAATGTCTAATATTTTGTTTTCTGAGAATGGGATAATTACTTTAACTTGTTTGAAATGTTAAAGTAATAAAAAATAATATACAATCATAGTTCAAAAATTGAAAATAATTCACTAATATCAGTGATATCGAAATAATGTTATTTAAATTTTAAAATTAAACTAAAATCGAAATAAAAGAAAATTATATTTAAAATCGAAATCATAATATAATTAAATCGATATTCTGCATAAATATAAAAATCATAAAATCACAAAATCAATATATTATTTTTAAATCGAAATCGAAAAATATTAATATCGATAAGCAAAATTGAAATTAAAATCGAAAATTTTTGTTTCGATTTCAAGCCCTGCTCTATGGCATGTGCCAATAGAGAACCATAGACATTAAATGTGTACATAAAAACTAAAATATAAAAAAAATGATTTATTAGGTACTTACCTACTTAAAAATTTGATATTAGAAACTGATCTAAAATATCTGTGGTTCACTTCTTCACTCAAATTGTCAAATATTACCAGATATAAGAGTCTAACGCACTAAAACACTACAGTGTAAACTACAAGTTACAACTATCGACTAACTAGTAAGCATAAACAAAAGATTGTTGTACTTTTCAATTTTTTTCGCCGATCCTATCATATCTTATAAAATATCGTATTATCAATTTATCATTATCCGCTCAAGTGCGAGAATGTTATTTCGGATAAAGAAACTATAGACTAGAAACGACATTGTGGGTGGGACGGTTGTCGGGGGACGGTTTTGGGTTTGTTTGTTATCATTAACACAGTTGTTTATTGAATGTGTGGAACGGCAAAAAATCCAAATAACCACGCAATAACTACAAAAGATCATTCGACAAATAACACCATCTTCATAATCCGACAAGTAGCCACAAGTAATGTCTTACTACAAAAATCCCCTGAATTAATTAACTATAATTGTCTCATACCTACCTATCTTTCGAATAGTCTTCAAAATAAGATGACAATTAACTGATTTTAATGATTATTACAGATCTAGTAGGTGTCTCAATAATTAATATAATATATTGTATACATATACATATTTTTATAAAATTTTATAATTTTATCAAAACCTTTTCTAATTTTTGTGTTCCGAGTTCTATTTGTCTTCTCTTTCATTTTTATTCATCTTCTAAGCTTACCTATATTCATTTCTTTCAGTAAGTCTGCCTAAATTGAATTTTATTATTTTTTAAAAATTGTTTTGATTTCTTCTGCCATCTGATATTCGTTTTATTTAATAATTTGTTGTTTTTTCTCTCTTGTTCACCTTTTTGTTTGCTGCTTTCGCAAAATGGTTATTTAGCTTTGTTTATTTATTAAGAAAGGTGTATATTATTATTTTATTTTTATAGATGGATGTAGGTAGAATGATGAGAAAATTGAGATTTAGAATTAATAAAAAAAATTTAAATATTGTGAATGCTGTTTGCTTATATTATGATTTCATACCATTTCATTATTTTATGCTGTTGTTTGAATCCTTTTCTAGTGTTTGATAGTGTCAGTGTACTGTTGCTTGACTGTATACAGTTGATTTTGATAACAATAGAGTGTTACATTTGTTTTACATTTTGTGTTTGAAGAAAGAAAAATATTTATTTCTTATGATACATTTTTTTTGACTTGTCACTATGCACGTTTTTATAATGAACATCTGCCCGAATTTCTTTGTAATGTTGTGATTGTGATTCTATTGCCTATTGGTTTAATTACAAGTAACTTTTTGCGTGTTTACATATATCGCGTTTTGAACGTTTTTTCGTTTGATTGAACTTTTACCGCCGGAATATTATTTTGACGCGACCTCTTTGAATTATTCTCGTACTGTACATTGCCGCTGCAATGTAGGCGTGTACCAATTTATTTTTGATTTTTTGATTTTCCGTACCCGCATACTAAAAGTTTTGTAGTTTATTGTATTGATCATAACGGCCTATCAATATTGTATTAATTAGGTATATAGTCAAATTATTTCAAATTGATGCAAATCGTCGTAAACACTATAACATAATATTATTATATTGTTGTGAGGCTTAAGGGCTAGTATTCATTGTACTATCATGATATTTCATAATTATGATTTTGTTGAGCCAGAAGAGCCCCACATATTATTATTGTACCTATATTATACGAGTTTAAATCTCAAATAGCTCCGTCTATATTTTTTCATTGGAGAATAGTAAGTTCCTACACGAACACGAGTCACGGGAGTAGCAGGTAAACAATTACATATGTTAGTTACTACACCGTAAAAAGCAGGTACGTATGTTAGTTCCTGAACGGCGGAAAAAGGTACATAATATTATATATACATCCAATTAAATTTGTATATAACTTTTTCAATTAAATAAGTTTATTAAAATAAGCACCGAAATTATTAACACAAAACCAAAAATCAGTAAAAAATACTCCGAAAAAGAAAATTTTATAAATTAAAAAATTTCAGATTATACAAAAAACAAAATTAATCAATACGATTTTGTTAAATTTTTAAGTTATAGAAATAAACCTCATAAAATATAAAATTTTACATTATGCGATTTTTATTATATTTTTTAATCATTATATTATATTATTTTTGAAAATTTGTATGCACATATTTAATTGGGTATATAGGATAAACATAATATGTACCTTTTTCCGCAGTGTAGGAATTAACGTAAGTCAGGCGCGCACCCAGAATTTTTGTTTGAGGGGGGAGGGGGCTTAATAATTACACACAAGTAAACAATTAAAACTAATTTTTAAATAATCACTTTTGTTTATTATCACCATATAATGTTATATTATTATGTATTTAATATTTATAACTAAATCAATTTAAAATTTAAGTTGCCTGTGTCTCTTATCAGAAAGAACTGTTAATACTTTGGATTCTTTAATTTGTATTTCTCGATGTATGTGATGATTTGCCAGACCATTTAAACGTGACTGTCCCATTGTGTTTCGGAGATAGGTTTTAATTCGCCGTAGTGTAGAAAACAATCTCTCGGTCGTACTTGTACTTACTGGTAACGTTGCAAATATTTTCAAAATTATAAATACTGATTGAAATATTTTAACATCACATAAATTTAAACCATCAATTGCGTTTAGTGGTAAAGTATAGTCACAGTTTTTGAATTTTTCATACCACAATTCGAATTCGGTCTTAGCGACAGAAAAACTAATTTGCTGCATAATATTATCTTTTTCATAAAAGTCAAAAAGATTTTTAAAACTTGAAATTTGTTCATCTGTTGGATTATGTCCTGTTGGTAAAAGACATTTAAAACTTGTAAGGAGATTTTTATATTTCAAAAGTCGATCAGAAAGATTATTAAGAAATGAATCGACCCATTCAATAGAAACTGAACGTCTATAGTATTCTTCAATATTTTCTGATGGTGTATTACATCACTTAGTTTGGTGTTTTGTTAGTCTAGGTATAGACATAGTTAAGTCTAAATTAGAGGCAACTTCTTGTGTTCTAAAAATAATTGCTTAAATTCATTGTTAGCATTACTTCTAACTCTAAGTCGTCGGAGAATAGACACTGCACTTTCTACTTGGTTAACTGCAGTAGAAAGATCTATATCTGTCGTTTCAAGTATTTTACTTATTGGTAAAGTAAGAGCTAATAATTTTTCTGAACAAAGTAATGAAATAATAAATGTAGATTGACGAATACCATTTAAAAGTAAAAATGCACCTGATGAAGAGTCTTTACAGTTCCACAATTAAATTTCTTCTAACGCCGCCATTACAGGTAATAAAAGTTGATTGAATAATATTATTGAATTGTGTCGTTCAACCCATTTGGTTGGACATAGTTGAACAAGTTTAGTTTTATCAATATCAGGAACTAAAATTTGAATTTGATTTTTTAAAACAATCTGAAGTTTTGGTGTATTAAAAAACGTGTACACTTTTTCTGTAACACCAAAACTATTCTTAATGGGTACTACATCAACAGCGTTAGATAAAGCCAAATTTAAGCTGTGTGAAACACAATGTACATATAGAGTGCAGTTGGATGTTTTTCTATTATGCGCGCTTAGACACCTTTAAATTTGCCACTCATCGCTGCAGCTCCATCGTAGCCTTGTCCTCGTAAATAATTTACATTAATACCTTATGAATTCAATGTTAGAAGTACATCTGCTAAATTTTGACCTGAAGTTGAACTATTGGTACAAATTTTAAAAAATCTTTCAACTATTTTCAAATTGTTTTCATCAATTGATTCAATATATCTTATACACAATGCGAATTGTTCAATAGAGGAAATTTCATACGTTTCGTCAGCGAGTATAGTAAAACATTTAGCGTTGTTAATTTTAGTTACAAGTTTTGTTAAAATTACTTCATCGCAAACATCTATTATTTGGTTTTGAATATTCCAACAGTTACTAATTTACGTTGAATTTTTTCCGCAAGTCATTAAATGTTGTTTTAAATTTGTGTCTCCTGAATCAATTTGTGCCCTAATCCTAAGCAACGCTTGAAAATTGCCTTTGTTACACTCTGGCTCTTGATCTATATTAAACGTTCCATAATCCCGATGTGTCCTAATTGGTAGACATTGTCGTCCACACAAATAAATTGTTTTTACTATCGGTTTAAGTTTTTCTTGATTTTCTAAAGTCTGTTGGTGATGAAATTTGTCAATTTGTTTATCTACCGATAATATTTTTTTTAATATGACATCCATAAAATTGTCAGCTTTTAAATTAGCTTCTTTTTGATAATTTAAACTTCCGTGTTTTTCGAATTTTTCTAAGCCTTTTTCCCAACTATTGTACCCCTTTTTAACAAATGTATGAAGTGATTGGTTGGAACTATAACCAGCCTCAGAAAGTGAAAATAATACGCAAACTTTACGAAAAGCACTATCTTCAATTTTTGAATATGTTAGCTATTTGTATTTAGTTAACCATAGTATATTAAATTTTCTTTTTTGATTGTGAATTTGTTGGTTGGGAAAATTATTATTATTATCTGGGACCCACACATTTTGTAAAACTTCAATTTTTTGTTTTTTATTTACAAATAATGATAGGCATATCTATAAAGAAGAAAAATTTTCATAATTACCAACAATATCAGATGTTGACGGTGATGGTAAAGCGAAAAGTTTTTGAGGACTGGGCGGTTCATTGATTGTTGACATTCTTGGTTTTATACTAATACAATTAAGAAGAGTACTACTAGTACCAAGTTCAGGTTTCTTTCGTTTTTTATACACATAAGCTCATTCGACACAGCTATCACAAAGAAAAAATCGAACATACTGAATTATCAAAACGAGTTTTTCATGCCACGATAGACAGTCGAAAGTCATAACTATCATTGTTATCGTAGTTACCAAACAAAGTCGATCCTACATAATCGCTACTCACTAATATCTATAAATCTAAAATTAATTTTCAACGAAGTAAGATATCGGATGTCAGTGAAGTTGGCCCCCCAACATTGTCCAATCAATTTCGGACCTGTGCCAATATTTTGCAAATAGTTTGCAATAATTTGCAAACTCATTTTCAGAATTTGCAAATCACTCGCTGCCCCACAATTTCCATTTTAGAGTGGGGGGGCCAACTTCACGCAGCCCCCCCCCCCACATCGTCCGATCGATCTCGGACCGGTGCCAATATTTTGCAAATAGTTTGCAATAATTTGCAAACTCATTTTCA